TAATTTTCTTTTCTTTTTTTTATGTTGACCCACTACTTATTGGGTCTTGTAGTATATTGTCTTTTTTTTTTTATTACAAAAAAAAGGAATTTCTGACATGCAGTTTCCTAGTGCTCCTACTCTGCCACCTCTGGAGTCTAGCTATACCTGGACGTTCAGGGGAGGTCCTCTTTCTGTGGAGAATGTCTAATCGCTCATATACAGAGGTGGAGTCTTACATGAAGTCTGATGTTTCTTCTGTCAGTTCAGATGCTGAGCTTGCAGGAGATCAAAGGTGGAGTGGTGAGAATTTGGACTCTTTTTTTTTTTTTTTTCCAGCACCTTCCAATGCTCAGACTGCTAATCACAAGCCTTGGATGGACATCCCGCCTTCTGTACCATTTTTGCAACTAGTACATCAAGTTTATAATATCTTGAGCATTTCTCCTGTAGCCTATGGCTCTTCTCCTTCTTTGTTTGGAGAAAGTCATTTGGCTTATTACCTAGTCTTTCCACCTTTGCCGGACATTGCTGTGGATGCTTGGAGATTTGCTGATCAATTGAGAGAGGGTGCTACCCTGCCTTGACCTCCCTGTTTATCAGATCAGGTGTATAAGGTTAGATCATTCTCTTCCTGTTTGGGGTTCTGGGCCTGATGCTACTGTTCATCTTAACCTAAATCAATTTTCTCAGATTCGTCTGCCCCTTACAACAGTTTTGCATTTTTATCTTGTTTGCAAGTGTTGTCTGAGGCCTATCACAGGTCTCCTGCTCAATTTTTAGAGGATCTTAGTCATTTATTGACTTCTAATTTGGTAAGGTTATCAGCTTCTACCCTCTCCTTGGTCTCTTGGTTGGTTTGTTGCTGGGATCTTTTGGAGAGAGATGCCTTGCTTATGGGATTTTGACTTCCTTCTTCAGCCTCAATAGATTTCAGAGAAGCTCTTTTTCTCAGACATTCGATTTTTGCAGGTATTCCAAGTTCAATGGGATCTAGGGTGGATATGGCCTGTCTCCACTCCTCTCTTTTGACACTGGCCTCTTGCCTTTCCTGGTTTTCTACTGGATGGTTTCCTGCATCTCTCTTTGGGTTTCCAGACCCCCTGCACTGGCTCCACATTCTGTCAGAATACAAGGGAGTTCTGCCCTTATCATCAGTTATCCTCCATTCAGATCGAGTGCAGCCAACAGCATCAATGACTATTCTATGGGGTTTGGTCCTGTGGAGGCTCGACTCAGATGGTTCATTGTCAGTATGGGAGACCTTTGCCACAGATCAGTGGGTCATTCAAGTTCTTACAGCAGGATTAGTCATTCATTTCATGTTTCCTTCTCCAATGTTTCTCATACTGGTTGTCTTTCTCCTCCCCAAAGATCATCTTACATCCAGTCGTCAAGCACAATCCATTCAAGATCTGCACGAAGAGGCCATAGAGTACATCAACTCCTCTCTCATTGGTTTTTATTCCCGTTTGTTTGTAGTACCAAAGAAGATGGGTGATTGGCAACCTGTCATTGAACTTTCTTGTCTCAATTGTTTGTGCCAGCATCTTTGTGCCAGCTAGATTTGTGTCCACAGTCCTATAATTCCAAGGACAAGATGTGGGACCTCGTCTGCCTGGTTGGGGCCTGGATGGATTCATGTTCATCTAAAGATAATAGGATTTTTCCTCTGTGGCTAGTCGGCCTTTACTACCCAGGAATTAGATTTCTTGTTGTCTGGGCAAAGAGCATACCTGTTCCAGAAGTAGTGCAGACCCCACTAGTGTGCTATTACTATATCTCATTTTTGCACACCTCTTTTTTTTCACAGATTCTTTCTGTGTGGATCTTGCCCTCACTGGCCCATCCACCTTGTCAATGTGAGATTCTAGCTGTGTTTTGGAAGTTAACATTTTCCTATACCAAAAATGTATTTCCAATAATGCTTACCTCTTCTCACACTCTCCTACCCTTCCTCCCCTCAAAATGGCCAGTGTTTGGGTCTACTAATTTGGACTGTCTCAAAAAAGTGAATAGGAAGTAATAACAAGGAGCTTGTAAACGGATCTGGGATAGGGGTGCATTGACGTAGAGAGTTACAAGATTTAACTTGCTTTGGGCAATATAGTGGGATATAAAGACTGGAGCAAGTGAGGAAAGATTCATAACAATGCTTAGATGAACAGAGAAAAGACACTTTCATCAGAATAAAGCTATAGTGTGAGAGTAGGTAAGCATTATCAGAAATACATTTTCAGTATAGGAAAATGTCAATTTTTACAAGATAAATATACATTTTTACAAATATACAAGAATCATAACATTTTCTATACTAACTAGTTTGGTGGCTAGTTAAGTAGCTGTTTGTTAAAAGTGAAAAAAAAAGGGGGGGTACAAGTACTTGATTTCTGAACAATTTTGTATATATAATTAGCTGATTGTTAAGTATGCAGTTCATATCTTCATGTACTAAATGGCTATATTAGACATTTTTCCAAATTTAATTCTTGTTGCCTATTTTATACAAACTGAAAACCATTTGGTAGTAGATCCAACTTCTGTCTTTAAAAAAAAAAACAATTAAGATAAATAACATTTAAACAATGTCACTGCCATTATCACATTCTTCAAAGCAAAGAATATTTATTTCTTGAATTTCTCACTGGGCTTGAAAGCAAGGCTGTACTTGTAGATGAACTCTGTATGAAGAAACCAGTTAAATAGTTCCTTTTTATTTCTGCGTGTTACTCTATGTTAGATTAGCAGATATCTTGATATTGTGAGCTGCATTAATAAAAGAGTGACAAGTTTTATTAGAAATTCACTGATAATTGTATTTAATAAGTTTGTGGCTTTTCATTCAATTGTACGTATAATTTTCATGTTTCCACTTTATTGTGCAATATAATGCTACTACCGAAAATAATGTTTGGTTGATCAACACTTTCAGAAATTTGAATTTAAAAAACGTTTGGCATAAAACATTTAAAATGTGAGTGTTAACTTGTAAAAGACATTAGTTTCATCATTTACACAAAACACTTTAGATTTTTTTTTTCACATGTGCAGGAAATTGAATATATTTATTACATATGTGTTGATGAACCAGTGTATTCCTTTAAAGAATCTTTTGTGGGCCCAAATATCAAGTACTTTTGGCTATAATTCTCACTAAGTTGTAGGAAATGCTATAACTGGTAATGCAAGCTTTTAATGCTTTTGTAAATTATTATGTATGAGTTTTTTTTCTTAATACTTTTAGAGTATGTTAAAACTTCCAGTGAAAACTACATTTTTGTACATCTAACCTAACCTAAAAATATTCCATTCTTTGAGAAAATACTATAATTCTCATTAAGTTATTCCTACTTCAACTGTATTTTAGTAGATCTTTAGTGGGCATTTTTTTTTCTTTTCAGGAAAAAGAAGATAATGGTGCAATTCCAAAAATAACTTTTAAACTTGGTGGAAGTGGCTCAAAGTCAAAAATGTATGATTTACTTCAAAAATTAGATTTTTACATCAGATTGTTAAATATAGATCATATTTTATATTTTTAGCACATTGCAGATAACCACAGTTTACATTTTTATAACTTATTCAATTAAGCTGTTTAATTTTGATTAAATACTAAGAATTTTATTGTTAGATAGAAAAATGTTTAACTTATAAGCTTATCTATTGAAAGACCTTTGCTGATAACTGTGAAATTTAATGTTAATAAAATGTATGCTGTCTGTTTATAGTTAGTTGTGTGCTCTTGATATTTTTGTTGTTTAAACATTCCTCACATAATGGTATTATGCAGAGTGATTATTGAATTTAATTATAAGTCATACATAAGAGATTAATTTTCAAAAGTCATTTAGTGTATATCAAGTAATTAGCTGAGATTAAAGAAGATTATTTCATACAAAATTTTGCTAATTTGGGTTGAAAATATTGAGAATTCTTGTTGTTAGTCATAATTTTTTCTGTTGGATCGATAAGTTTATTGGTGTAACATTATCAGAAATTCATAGGCTTTACCCAAGTAGAACTCAGTGTTTTGTTTGCACTTAAAATGTCAAGCTACATTTTGCTAAGTGGGTTAATATTGGATGGAAATTGGTATAATTTAAAATGTCCTACATTATTTTGGTAAGTGGGTTTAATATTTGATGGCTTCCTAATAATCAAAACTCAAAACCTGAACTTGATTGTCTTTAAGCCAGCTTACGAAGTGTTTAATTTTTTCACTTCCTGAGAAAGTAAGTAGTTTAATCACTATCTTACCTGATATCTGAATATTTTTCTCACAAGTTTTGCAGTTCTAAGACAGCTGATAAATGGGTTTTGTTCTAAGTTCTACATTTTTTATAATTTCATTTTGTTAATCTTAAATTTGCAACCTCAATTTTTACATTTTAGCTTAAAAAAATTATGCATATATATATGAAGTTTGTTAGAGTTGAATACTGATGAGAGTGTAAATAGATCCAAATGTTTTGCATGAGAGGTTTTAACTCCAGATAAGGCTAGTTAATCATAGATAAGTTGTATGGAATAGCCTGATTACCCAGTGTTATATTAGGTTTGTATTAATTTGGATGTTGAGGTTCAGAAGGAAATTACACCAAAAACCTTTTCCTTGTGTTTTGTGAAACATTTTCAAATTTGATCCAGCTGGAAATTGGTTTTGCAAGATGTTACATGTAGTACTTACTCCAAACACTGTAAATGTAAAGGTTAAGAGATGGCATTTAAGTCGCAGTATTTTTTTGGTATAACTTAAGTATTGTGTGAACCTCTATTATCAGTATTCTTACTGTATACTTTCATATTTTGTTTTTTAACCAATTTATGTCTTAATAGTCATTACAAATGAAGTAACTTAACAGAGTAACTTTTATGATAAGCTCACTAATTATCCCTTTGAACTTTACTATCTGATCTCTTCACAAAAGCATTATTATGTTATAATACAATGCCTTTCATTTGAGGATTGCATATTTAAAGTTTCAAAAACTTTCATGTGGTGGATTATATATGGGGTTTCATAGATTTTATCACTAATTGGGATATTTTAAGTAAGGAAAGAAGCTTATTTTGACAATTTCCTTTAAAAAGTTACTAGAAACTCAATTTCAAGTAAACTTTGTCATAATTTCTAACAAGAGAGAGAGAAACATAAGCTTTCTTCTTAAACCAACCTTAAATTCATTCCATATTGATGTTCTCCTTTAAACTTAAAAGGCATTTCATAATTGGAAATGAAAAAATATAAATATTAAATATTTTTAAGGTGTTTTCTACTGTATTAAAAGATGTAAGCTTAGGGAAGAAAATTTAAGCAGTATTACAATCACTGACCAGGAAAGTCTTAAACTGATTGTGATAATACCTTTTTCTCATAGTAATTTTTGTTTAGTCTAAGTTGTTTTTATTTCTGTAATTCTAAATATAGTTAAGATTGATTAACAGAAAACATTCTCTTATATAATTTATGTTTACAGAGTCATTAGTATGCAGGTAAAATTGTTTTAGTGGAACTTTGCCATTATTGGTTTACAGTTTGTAGAGTGATACATACACCTTTATCAAGCTGAAAGTTCCTACTTCTAGTTGTATAGATCTTAATTCAGACACTAATATGCAGATGTTTGTGTATGCTTACACTACTTATTGAGTTTGAGTTTTGTTTTTTAGAAGATTAAGCAAGCTGCAAACTGTTTCATTGTTATTGTTGTCTTAACAGCTTTTAATGCTTTTGTAAGTTATTACTCATGAGCTTTTTCTTCGTACTTTTTATAGTGTGTTAAAACTTCCAGTGAAAACTACGTTTTCGTACACCCAACCTAAGAATATTCCCTTCTTTGACCATGATTACACTATCCCACATTCTTTCCTGTATAACCCATCCAGTGACTTGCAGTCTTCCACTTGTAGTTTTTCCAGACCAATCATCAGAGATAAATTCAAATTCAGGTTGCCCAAGTCAGGCAAGGGAATTTTCAGCTCTAGTTCGTCTAAGTCAGTCAAATCCATTACCGGTCATAATATTTCAAGACCAAGCAAGAGTATTGCTACTTACAGTTCTTCAAGATCAAATAAAAGTATAGCCGCTCGTTGTTCAAAATCAAAAAGAGGTATCGCCAGGTGTTCTTCGGAATCAAATAGAAGTATTGCCATTGTAGTTATTTTAAAGCAGATAAAAGTAATCCATTTAACAGTTTTAAAAATTATGTAAGAACATTGTCATACTCTCCTCTTTTCTCCATCTCACATAAGAGCAAATAAAACTTTTGTCTATTCTACTCTTTCTGAATGAATAAAATTATTGATGTCAGGTAATGTTTTCAAAACAGGTACTTTGTAATGTTTAGTTCTTTCAAAGAAAACAGTTATTACTATTGTAATCTTTAGTTCTTCCAAAGAAAACGGTTATTACTATTGTAATCTTTAGTTCTTCCAAAGAAAACGGTTATTACTATTGTAATCTTTAGTTCTTCCAAAGAAAACGGTTATTACTATTGTAATCTTTAGTTCTTCCAAAGAAAACAGGTGCTATTGTAATCTTTAGTTCTTCTAAAGAAAACAGGTGCTATTATAATCTTTAGTTCTTCCAAAGAAAACAGGTACTAATGTAATCTTTAGTGCTTCCAAAGAAAACAGGTACTAATGTAATCTTTAGTGCTTCCAAAGAAAACAGGTACTAATGTAATCTTTAGTTCTTCCAAAGAAAACGGTTATTACTACTGTAATCTTTAGTTCTTCCAAAGAAAACGGTTATTACTATTGTAATGTTTAGTTCTTCCAAAGAAAACAGGTACTATTGTAATCTTTAGTTCTTCCAAAGAAAACAGGTGCTATTGTAATCTTTAGTTCTAATAGCACCTGTTTTCTTTAGAATAATCTTTAGTTCTTCCAAAGAAAACGGTTATTACTATTGTAATCTTTAGTTCTTCCAAAGAAAACAGGTGCTATTGTAATCTTTAGTTCTTCTAAAGAAAACAGGTGCTATTATAATCTTTAGTTCTTCCAAAGAAAACAGGTACTAATGTAATCTTTAGTGCTTCCAAAGAAAACAGGTACTAATGTAATCTTTAGTGCTTCCAAAGAAAACAGGTACTAATGTAATCTTTAGTTCTTCCTAAGAAAAGAGGTACTAATGTAATCCTTTAGTGCTTCCAAAGAAAACAGGTACTAATGTAATCTTTAGTTCTTCCTAAGAAAACAGGTACTAATGTAATCTTTAGTGCCTCCAAAGAAAACAGGTACTAATGTAATCTTTAGTTCTTCCTAAGAAAACAGGTACTAATGTAATCTTTAGTGCCTCCAAAGAAAACAGGTACT